TCTATGGTCACATTGAATAACATGAACTTTAGTTTACAGTGACAATGTCTATGATATATTTTTGACAGCTGTTGCATGATCTTGTTTAGATAATGTTGAGACTTGATTGGACTACTTCTATGAAACTGAAACATACTTCTTTTGATTGAACCACTTCTGTGAGAATGAAATATACCTCATTTGATTGGATCACTTCTGTAAAAATTTAATGAACCTTGTTTGATTGGACCACATTTGTTAAACTAAAACAAAGTTAATTTGATTGCACCACTTTTTGTAAAATGGATGCACACGTAACACTCAGGTTTTGGAACAGGACTGCAGTCCAGAAGTGGATAAACAACCAGAACTTTCCACCAGAGTTTACAGTTGGTGACCGCGAAGAAGAAGAAGAAGAAGATTGGACCACTTTTGTTAAATTGAAACAAAGCTAATTTGATTGGACCACTTTTGTTAAACTGAAACAAAGCTAATTTGATTGGACCACTTTTGTTAAACTGAAACAAAGCTCATTTGATTGGACCACTTTTGTTAAACTGAAACAAAGCTCATTTGATTGGACCACTTTTGTTAAACTGAAACTGAAGCTTATTTGATTCATTGTTATTATCCTCGAGTGGGTACTGGCATCCCATTGGATTGGGGGTGGGGGGGGGGGAGGGGGTAGACCTATTACCCTTAACTAGCATATCTCAAAAGCAGACTAATTAGGGGTGTTTCCTTTCAAATCAGAGTGCATCTGCCTGTATGTTGTGGAACCCACAGTCTGCATACAAATAAGCCAGATCCTTAAAATGAATGTGCATATAAGAGTCCAGTTGTGGAACAAGAGTCAAGTCCAGAAGTGGATAGCCAGGACTTTCTGTTATCTTTGTTATCTTCTGTGTTTATGTGACACTTTTAGGAGTCTGTTAGTTCTATGAAATCTGACTTCTCTGACTTGTGCATCAAGAGATTATTTAATGAGTGGAGTATTCAGTATATTTATGTGTCTGAAACTACTGAGGATGCGCATTCTTAGGTAGTTGAACTAAAATGTTCAGTAAATGAATGCAATGCCGTGCACATTCTTAGGTAGTTGAACTAAAATGTTCAGTAAATGAATGCAATGCCGTGCACATTCTTAGGTAGTTGAACTAAAATGTTCAGTAAATGAATGCAATGCCATGCACATTCTTAGGTAGTTGAACTAAAATGTTCAGTAAATGAATGCAATGCCATGCACATGGTACCATTGTGGTGCAATATTCCTGTACTGTAGCTGTTAGATTATTGTTAACTTATGAAACTGATGAGATTTATGCATTTTGTTTTGTTACTTTTTAAAACTCTATCCTAGCTGTCCCTAATGGTTGAACAGGGTTTCTGAGACATTTGTCCAGGGAATTCTCATTTGAATGGTGGCACTTTGTGTCACTGGTCGTTTATCACTCATTGTGAGGTCCTGGTGGGGTTGAATATCACTCGCTCACTGATCAAATAAGGCAAAAACTGTATGTCTTCAATGCTAACATAATATCTTCAATGCTAACATAATATCTTCAATGCTAACATAATATCTTCAATGCTAACATAATATCTTCAATGCTAACATAATATCTTCAATGCTAACCTAATATCTTCAATGCTAACATAATATCTATAATGCTAACATAATATCTATAATGCTAACATAATATCTTCAATGCTAAATTGATATGTTGCTACCTGTACTGTGCAGGTGAGAGTGTTCTACCGAAGGTGTGCCGGACGGGCTTCCTGCAACTGTGCTGTAGCAGCTCGTGCAGAAGATGATGTGATAATCATTGACAAATGTGGACCGTCCATTGATTCCTCAGTGATATTCTATCCAATGACAGTCAAAATGTTTAGGAAAGGAGTCCTCACACCTGGTTTCAAAATCTTCAGTCAGTACGAAGGCCGAGAATACAAGGTACAAACAAAGTATAAAGAAGTTTTGTTTCTAGTCCCTGATTTCTGCATCATTTTTATTCTATATTATTTGCAGTTTCTTCCTGTAATATCCTTGTTCTACATTGCCTGTAGTTTTTGTTTGTTTCTTTATGTAGTATTGTTCTTGTATATTGTTTGTAGTTTCTTTTGTTATATTTGCCTATATTAATGTAGTTTTCTTTTGTTGTTTTTTTCTCTATATAGTTTTCACCTTTTACATTGTTTGCAATTTTCATTTGTTTCCTTTATAGAGTTTGTAGTTTCATTCTTCAGAATTATTCTTCTGTATTAAATGTAGTTTTTATTTGTTTGTTTATTTTCATAGTTTTGGCCCTCTACATTAGTTTTTTTTTTTTTAGTAACATGATCCCATATTGCATGTAATTTTGTTTCTTAATATAACATTCTTTATTTACATAGTTTATAGTTTTTTTTCTCCTTTTCTTTTCTGTTTGTAGAAATATTCTTATGAATTGCAATTAAAAAAAAAATATCTGTCTACAGTATTGTTTTTCTATATTGTTTGTAGTTTATAGTTGTTTGTTTCTGTCTGTAGCATTGTTATTATATAGTGTTTGTAGTTTATATTTGTTTGTTTCTGTCTGTAGTATTGTTCTTCTTTTGTGTTTGTAGTTTATATTTTTTTGTTTATGTCTGTAGTATTGTTCTTATATAGTGTTTGAAGTTTATATTTTTTTTTTCCTGTCTGTAGTATTGTTCTTATATAGTGTTTGAAGTTATTATTTGTTTGTTTATGTCTGTAGTATTGTTCTTATATTGTGTTTGTAGTTATTATTTGTTTGTTTATGTCTGTAGTATTGTTCTTATATTGTGTTTGTAGTTATTATTTGTTTGTTTCTATCTGTAGTATTGTTCTTATATAGTGTTTGTAGTTATTATTTGTTTGTTTCTATCTGTAGTATTGTTCTTATATTGTGTTTGTAGTTTATATTTGTTTGTTTCTATCTGTAGTATTGTTCTTATATAGTGTTTGTAGTTTATATTTGTTTGTTTATGTCTGTAGTATTGTTCTTATATAGTGTTTCTAGTTTATATTTGTTTGTTTCTATCTGTAGTATTGTTCTTATATTGTGTTTGTAGTTTATATTTGTTTGTTTCTATCTGTAGTATTGTTCTTATATAGTGTTTGTAGTTTATATTTGTTTGTTTCTATCTGTAGTATTGTTCTTATATAGTGTTTGTAGTTTATATTTGTTTGTTTATGTCTGTAGTATTGTTCTTATATTGTGTTTGTAGTTATTATTTGTTTGTTTCTGTCTGTAGTATTGTTCTTATATAGTGTTTGTAGTTTATATTTGTTTGTTTATGTCTGTAGTATTGTTCTTATATAGTGTTGTTTTAGTTTATATTTGTGTTTGTTAGTGTAGTATTGTTCTTATATTGTGTTTTTGTAGTTTATATTTGTTTGTTTATGTTGTAGTATTGTTCTTATATAGTGTTTAGTTTATTTTTATGTTGTTATTGTTTTATGTGTGTAGTATTGTTTGTTTCTTAGTATTGTTCTTATATTGTGTTCGTAGTTTATATTTGTTTGTTTCTATCTGTAGTATTGTTCTTATGTTGTGTTTGTAGTTTATATTTGTTTGTTTATGTCTGTAGTATTGTTCTTATATAGTGTTTGTAGTTTATATTTGTTAATGTTGTAGTATTGTTCTTATATTGTGTTTGTAGTTATTATTTGTTTGTTTCTGTCTGTAGTATTGTTCTTCTTTTGGGTTTGTAGTTTATATTTGTTTGTTTATGTCTGTAGTATTGTTCTTATATAGTGTTTGTAGTTATTATTTGTTTGTTTCTATCTGTAGTATTGTTCTTATATAGTGTTTGTAGTTTATATTTGTTTGTTTATGTTGTAGTATTGTTCTTATATAGTGTTTGTAGTTTATATTTGTTTGTTTATGTCTGTAGTATTGTTCTTATATAGTGTTTGTAGTTTATATTTGTTTGTTTATGTCTGTAGTATTGTTCTTATATAGTGTTTGTAGTTATTATTTGTTTGTTTCTATCTGTAGTATTGTTCTTATATAGTGTTTGTAGTTTATATTTGTTTGTTTATGTCTGTAGTATTGTTCTTATATAGTGTTTGTAGTTTATATTTGTTTGTTTATGTCTGTAGTATTGTTCTTATATAGTGTTTGTAGTTTATATTTGTTTGTTTATGTCTGTAGTATTGTTCTTATATAGTGTTTGTAGTTTATATTTGTTTGTTTATGTCTGTAGTATTGTTCTTATATAGTGTTTGTAGTTTATATTTGTTTGTTTATGTCTCTGTAGTATTGTTTCTTATATAGTGTTTGTAGTTTATATTTGTTTGTTTATGTCTGTAGTATTGTTCTTATATAGTGTTTGTAGTTTATATTTGTTTGTTTATGTCTGTAGTATTGTTCTTATATAGTGTTTGTAGTTTATATTTGTTTGTTTCTATCTGTAGTATTGTTCTTATATAGTGTTTGTAGTTTATATTTGTTTGTTTTTGTTGTAGTATTGTTCTTATATTGTGTTTGTAGTTTATATTTGTTTGTTTCTGTTGTAGTATTGTTCTTATATAGTGTTTGTAGTTTATATTTGTTTGTTTCTGTTTGTAGTATTGTTATTATATAGTGTTTGTAGTTTATACTTCTTCTACATTGTTTATGTTTTTCTTTCTATTACACTATTTTTCTGTCTTGACAACACATCATGTTTGATTAGTTATAAACATTTTCTTTAGATTGTATTTCCATCTGGGACAACTCTGTATGTAGAGAGAAGTGCCATCAAGAGTTATAATTATATTAACCTCTGGCTAAAACCTTCACCTACGGACTGGAATCAATCACAAGGTAGGAAGAGAAATGTACACTCAATTGACTTTTATTGTTAGTAATTTTAGCTACCAGAAACCACATCTTTTTGACTCACTGCTTCATTGATTGGCTGTAAACAATTGTAGCTGTCTCCTCCAGGATTTGCTAGACACCTTAGATGAATATGTTTTTCCTTATAAGTGAGAGCTGAATAACCTGTCTGTATGAAAATGCTAGTTTTTTATGAAAGTTAATATCCCTATGTTGACAACCAGCCAATGCTAGAGAGCTTGTGTCAGTAAAAACTGGCTGGTCTTGTACTAAAGTTATTTTCCATTGTTGGTTTGCCAAAAACAGTTTATTTTCCTTTGTTGGTCTCCCAAGTAAAATTAATTTTGTTGTTGTTGATCTGCCAACTTGAGTTGGAGCTGTTGGTTTTCGAAATGCAAGGGACCTTATATGTCTTCCTTCTGCTCATTCACACAGTTCTGCTCATTGTTATTAAAGACAAACATTCACAGCATTCATGATACTCACAGATAAAAACGCAGCAGCACAAACTAACTTAACAGTGGTACTGTGATGTGCAGCAATATATAATCTTACTAATGACTAACCAATGAAGAAGGGAGGATTACTCCAAAAGCTAAATATGGCATCACACATGGATACTTGGTACTACCTCTACTTCCTTCACTGAGAACAGATGCTGATCTCCACTCTCGTTAACTATGAGAAGTGATCACTTAAATCTGTGTTCACCAAAACCAGATACATGGACGTTAACTATGAGAAGTGATCACTTAAATCTGTGTTCACCAAAACCAGATACATGGTCGTTAACTATGAGAAGTGATCACTTAAATCTGTGTTCACCAAAACCAGATACATGGACGTTAACTATGAGAAGTGATCACTTAAATCTGTGTTCACCAAAACCAGATACATAGACGTTAACTATGAGAAGTGATCACTTAAATCTGTGTTCACCAAAACCAGATACATGGACGTTTATGAGAAGTGATCACTTAAATCTGTGTTCACCAAAACCAGATACATGGACGTTAACTATGAGAAGTGATCACTTAAATCTGTGTTCACCAAAACCAGATACATGGATGTTAACTATGAGAAGTGATCACTTAAATCTGTGTTCACCAAAACCAGATACATGGACATTTCTGATACAAAACCATATATGAGAGAACAAACATTGCCAGTAAAGAATCATATATGAAAGAACATATACCCTCAATTTGAAACCGATTATGAAAGAACAGACACTGCTAATACAGAATCATGAATGAAAGAACAGACACCAAAAATACTGAACCATAGATGAGTTGAGCTGAGTCAAAAATTGACATCACAGCACTCGTGGCATTCCCATGCATGCTCTGTCCAAATCTTCAGCAGCCAGCGCAGAATTCCAATACTGATGGTACTGGTCACAATCTGCATACTCATGTTGTAATTGTAACATACTCTGAAAGCATGCTGAAAAAGATAAAGACAGGGATGCTTCGAGCAAAGTGGCAAGCTTCACTGGGAAGGTAACAGGTAGTGAGCATTCTTTGGATCTTTTCTCCAGGCTGTGCTGGCATGGTGGGTAAAGAACAGGCAGACAGACTGGCTAGATCTGCACCACTGAATAGTGAATTGATACATGACAAGGCAGATGGGGTCAAGGCTCTTTGGGAACAAGCAACTGAATCAGTAGAGAAGCAAGATTTTTATAGCCTGGAGAGAATAAGGCAGCTGGATGTAACCAAAGGAGCTGGCCGGCTCATTAAACCATAGATAAAAGAACATATACCCTCAATTCAGAACCATATACGAAAGAAAATATACCCTCAATTCAGAACCATATACGAAAGAAAATATGCCCTCAATTCAGAACCATATACGAAAGAAAATATACCCTCAATTCAGAACCAGATAAAACAGAATATACACCCTCAATTCAGAACCAGATATAACAGAATATACACCCTCAATTCAGAACCAGATATAACAGAATATACACCCTCAATTCAGAACCAGATATAAACAGAATATACACCCTCAATTCAGAACCAGATATAACAGAATATACACCCTCAATTCAGAACCAGATATAACAGAATATACACCCTCAATTCAGAACCAGATATAACAGAATATACACCCTCAATTCAGAACCAGATATAACAGAATATACACCCTCAATTCAGAACCAGATATAACAGAATATACACCCTCAATTCAGAACCAGATATAACAGAATATACACCCTCAATTCAGAACCAGATATAACAGAATATACACCCTCAATTCAGAACCAGATGTAACAGAATATACACCCTTAATTCAGAGACAAATATCAAAGAACCCTCAGTTGAAAACACCAGATCCTGCTAGCAATGTTATGTTATCACAATCGACGTCACTGGACATTGGGCATTCCCATGAGTACTCATCCTCGGATACAGCAGTCACTCCAAGGTACTTCTACTAAATGTTCCCATGAGAAGCTGGTTATCATGTCTCCTATCTTGGCTCGAAGTCAGCACATATGTGCTTCACCACGCTTTACCCCCATTGCTAGCAATGCAGTTTGTGTTGTATTTACTGATGATCCAGGAATCATCCACTAAACTCTGGATGATATAAAACATGACTGTAGATAAAACATGACTATAGATTAAATTTGACTATAGACCTGTTGAATTTTGTTCACTACAAGAACTATCCTGTATTAGTTGAATTCTGTTCACTACAAGAACTATCCTGTATTAGTTGAATTCTGTTCACTACAAGAACTATCCTGTATTAGTTGTGACCAATGACTTCTGTTCACTGTCAAGTGCTATCATAGCTGTACATTTGTATCATTGTCAGATGTGCTATCATAGCTGTACATTTGTATCATTGTCAGATGTGCTATCATAGCTGTACATTTGTATCATTGTCAGATGTGCTATCATAGCTGTACATTTGTATCATTGTCAGATGTGCTATCATAGCTGTATATTTGTATCATTGTCAGATAGGCTATCATAGCTGTACATTTGTATCATTGTCAGATGTGCTGTCATAGCTGTACATTTGTATCATTGTCAGATGTGCTATCATAGCTGTACATTTGTATCATTGTCAGATGTGCTATCATAGCTGTACATTTGTATCATTGTAAGATGTGCTATCATAGCTGTACATTTGTATCATTGTCAGATGTGCTATCATAGCTGTACATTTGTATCATTTTCAGATGTGCTATCATAGCTGTACATTTGTATCATTGTCAGATGTGCTATCATAGCTGTACATTCGTATCATTGTCAGATGTGCTATCATAGCTGTACATTTGTATTATTGTCAGATGTGCTATCATAGCTGTACATTTGTATCATTGTCAGATGTGCTATCATAGCTGTACATTTGTATCATTGTCAGATGTGCAATCATAGCTGTACATTTGTACATACTTAACTGCTGATGTACCTATTTGTACCTGCTTGATTGCTAATGTACCTCCTTGACTGCTGATGTACCTCCTTGACTGCTGATGTACCTCCTTGACTGCTGATGTACCTCCTTGACTGCTGATGTACCTACTTGACTGCTGATGTACCTCCTTGACTGCTGATGTACCTACTTGACTGCTGATGTACCTACTTGACTGCTGATATACCTACTTGACTGCTGAAACTGCAGCAAGATGTAATATGTAGCTACCATTAAATGACATTTCCCTAACTGAAGAGCTCAAGCATTCAGCAGCAGATGATGAAGTCAAACCCAGCGGCCACATATTGTACCTGAAAGGCATGGTCAACAATGTCTGTTTTCTGATAATGTTGACAACATGCCTTCATTATTTCCATGTTCAGTGCCACAATCTCCTTCCACAGAGTGGACCCATCTGATACATACTACACTGGTGCATGTAACCGTGGCAACACTTCTGAAGGTCAGCAGCAGAAGCAACCATCCTCCTGCTATTGTCCACAGGAAGCAGCTGAGCAGTGTGGAGATGGTATTGACTTGGCCAGCTGTTCTTATCTTAATATCAGTAAGTGCCTTTGCATTCCATATTATTCATGTCAGTCTGCCAACTTCTGGTAGACTTATTTGTATGATGTTTCAGACTTATTATCATGTCTCAAAGCATCACTGTTATAGTTTGCCTTTATTTGTCTATGTATATCATTATCGTCATGAAGTGTCTGTCAACCTTGAACTCTTTCAGTCCCAAGGAACGCATCATACATTGGATAGTTTCTACCTAGAGGCCCAGTGAACGCAAGATGCAAATGTTGGACAAAAGAATCAATGGGTGAATACATGAAGATGCAAATGTTGGACAATAGAATCAATAGGTGAATACATGAGGAGGCAAATGTTGGACAATAGAATCAATGGGTGAATACATGAAGATGCAAATGTTGGACAATAGAATCAATGGGTGAATACATGAAGATGCAAATGTTGGACAATAGAATCAATGGGTAAATACATGAGGATGCAAATGTTGGACAATAGAATCAATGGGTGAATACATGAGGATGCAAATGTTGGACAATAGAATCAATGGGTGAATACATGAAGATGCAAATGTTGGACAATAAAATCAATGGGTGAATACCTGAGGATGCAAATGTTGGACAATAGAATCAATGGGTGAATACATGAAGATGCAAATGTTGGACAATAGAATCAATAGGTGAATACATGAGGAGGCAAATGTTGGACAATAGAATCAATGGGTGAATACATGAAGATGCAAATGTTGGACAATAGAATCAATGGGTGAATACATGAAGATGCAAATGTTGGACAATAGAATCAATGGGTAAATACATGAGGATGCAAATGTTGGACAATAGAATCAATGGGTGAATACATGAAGATGCAAATGTTGGACAATAGAATCAATGGATGAATACATGAAGATGCAAACGTTGGACAATAGAATCAATGGATGAATACATGAGGATGCAAATGTTGGACAATAGAATCAATGGGTGAATACATGAAGATGCAAATGTTGGACAATAGAATCAATGGGTGAATACAAGAAGATGCAAATGTTGGACAATAGAATCAATAGGTGAATACATGAAGATGCAAATGTTGGACAATAGAATCAATGGGTGAATACCTGAAGATGCAAATGTTGGACAATAGAATCAATGGGTGAATACATAAAGATGCAAATGTTGGACAATAGAATCAATGGATGAATACCTGAGGATGCAAATGTTGGACAAAAGAATCAATGGATGAATACATGAGGATGCAAATGTTGGACAATAGAATCAATGGGTGAATACATGAAGATGCAAATGTTGGACAATAGAATCAATGGGTGAATACAAGAAGATGCAAATGTTGGACAATAGAATCAATGGGTGAATACATGAGGATGCAAATGTTGGACAATAGAATCAATGGGTGAATACATGAAGATGCGAATGTTGGACAATAGAATCAATGGATGAATACCTGAGGATGCAACTTTTCAGAAAAAAAAAATTTCCATATATTGTTGACACAAAAGACAATGCTAGGCTGCAGCAATTTATGGGCCTCAGAATCTGGCTAGTATTTCAAATACACAACACAGAAATGTTGAGCTGCCACTGAGGTAACCATTTCTTTTCCATGAATTCCTAAATTTGTCATGTCAGTTGTTATTAACCCCAGGTTACCTTGCAACTTATGCTGTAAAATCTTCTTTTACTGAGAGAGTTCAATCTTGGATACACCATCTTCAACTGACAAATAGTTGATGACATTGATGAACTGCACACAGTCTGTTCTGGTATGGACTGCCCTAGTCACATATTGATTTTGATGCAGCCATATTGAGAAACTATGTCTTGCACAATCAGAGCCTGAAAGTTTATAGTGTAGACTACCATACATGGCTTTCTGTGTCTGTCAGACTTTCAACCCTAATACACATTGGTCAGACTTTCAACCCTAATACACATTGGTCAGACTTTCAACCCTAATACACATTGGTCAGACTTTCAACCCTAATACACATTGGTCAGACTTTCAACCCTAATACACATTGGTCAGACTTTCAACCCTAATACACATTGGTCAGACTTTCAACCCTAATACACATTGGTCAGACTTTCAACCCTAATACACATTGGTCAGACTTTCAACCCTAATACACATTGGTCAGACTTTCAACCCTAATACACATTGGTCAGACTTTCAACCCTAATACACATTGGTCAGACTTTCAACCCTAATACACATTGGTCAGACTTTCAACCCTAATACACATTGGTCAGACTTTCAACCCTAATACACATTGGTCAAACTTTCAACCCTAATACACATTGGTCAGACTTTCAACCCTAATACACATTGGTCAGACTTTCAACCCTAATACACATTGGTCAGACTTTCAACCCTAATACACATTGGTCAGACTTTCAACCCTAATACACATTGGTCAGACTTTCAACCCTAATACACATTGGTCAGACTTTCAACCCTAATACACATTGGTCAGATTTTCAACCCTAATACACATTGGTCAGACTTTCAACCCTAATACACATTGGTCATACTTTCAACCCTAATACACATTGGTCAGACTTTCAACCCTAATACACATTGTAATTTGTCAAATTCTAATTTGCTTAATTTACAACAGAATACAAGTGAAATATCACTATTATCTACAAGCTTCAAGATGCTATCAGCAGCACTGCGAGAGAGACTAGAGCCCTATATGGAAGAGATATTTGATATTAGGTGACTATCGGACAGCTTTCAGAGAAAACAGATCAACAGTTGATCAGATCTTCATCAGAAGATAAATCTATAATTGAACAAAAAACTGCGTTCATGAAAAGTTGATTGAAGTAGACCATGAGGCAGACCAAGAAGATGGTGTAGATATAAATATAGACAGACAGACCAAGAAGACGGTGTAGATATAAATATAGACAGA